AGTGAATGAATCCCCTGATAGGGATTAACTGAGTGGTAACTGAAGGTGGGTAGGGTGTGGCTAGAGGAGGTGGGCATTGGGGGCGTGGCTTTGGGGTATATACTTTGTATCTGGAGAGTGGGGTCTCTCTTTGCTTCCTGATCATCATGTGAGCCGCTTCCCCCTGCCACACATCCACCATGATGTTCTGCCTCACCTGGAGCCCTGAGGAACAGAGCCAACTATCTATGGAGTGAGACCTCTGAAACCATGAGCCCCCAAATAAACTTTTCCCTCTCTGCAACTGTTCTGATCAGATCTTTTAGTTGAGCAGCAAAAAAGCTGATTAACACAAGTTCTAACTCACAGGGTTATGAGGAATCCATGAAACTCTGTGTGTGTGTGTGTGTGTGTGTGTGTGTGTGGAGACCAACACAGTGTGGGGGGGGGAGGGGAAGACCAACAGTGCCAGAACCCAACAGGTTCTTGATGGCCTGGGATGAGACGGGATGGTGGTTACAGGTGATGGCAATGATACTGTTCCAGCCACAAATGGTAGGGGGGTGAGAGAAAGACTGAGATGTGTGTAGATGGTAAATGGTGGTTTGTTTAAAATCTGTTTTCTGGCTGACACTTCTGATAATTCAAGTCTTCAAGCTAGAAGAGGCTCTGAAATTAAAATAGGCCAGGACAGTGAGGGGACTAGAAAGTGTCCCCTGAGAAAAGAGAAAGGGAGCTAGAGCCACGCAGGCAGCGGAAGAGGCCGTGTGGGGGTGGAGGTGAGGGACATGACTCCTGCCTCCAGGTGTCTAGACAGATGGGAGCCAACCTGTGAGCCACATGAGAACACATCCAGGGCAATGGAAGCTACAGGGAAGCCCATTTGTTCCCTGTCCAAGGCTGTTCAGCAGAACAGACTAAAACTCAATACTGAATTTCACTGTATCTGTCCCCTGGGGAAGGGAGTTCACTTTCTTAGTCAACAAAGGCAACCCGTTGGCCATCCCCACTTGGTTGTTCACTAAGGTTCTTAACTTAATAAGTCTTAAACAGAATGCTCACCATCCCTCGTCAAACCTGAACGCCCTTGTTGATGACATGCTGTCACTGTCCACGACACCCACACACAGGAGGCAGTATCATTTTCTTTCTTTACTTTATCTGATACCCTTCCCATCTAATCCATTAGCAAGTTCTGTAGATCCATGTCCAACCATGTCTTACATCCACCAACTTCTTTACACCTCTGCAGCCCCAGTATATTCCACTACCCTCCAAACATCCAGCTTACTTGCCCAGTGCAACGGCACATGCCAGTAATGATTCTCAGCGACTCTGGAGGCTGAGGCAGGAGGATCTGACACTTGAGGCCAGCCTCAGCAACTTAGGGAGATCCTGTTTCAAAATTAAAAAAAAAAAAAAGGGTTGAAGATGTGGTTTAGGGATACAACCCCTGGGGTCAATCCCTAGACCCAAAAAAAAAAAAAAAAAAAGGACCAGTTAACTTGCCCCCTTGCTTATTACCCTCCACTCTTTAGTCCGTTTTCTACAGGGAAGCCAAGGTGTCTCTAAATCCAATCTTGAATCCAATCATGTTTCTTTTCTTTTTAAGACCTTCAACTGGCTTGCTTTCTGAGTATTTTAACATGGGGGCATACAGAAAATTTCCCTTATTTATGTTTTTTTTTTTTTTTAAGAGAGAGAGAGAGAGAATTTTAATATTTATTTCTTAGTTTTCGGCGGACACAACATCTTTGTTTGTATGTGGTGCTGAGGATCGAACCTGGGCCGCATGCATGCCAGGCGAGCGCGCTACCGCTTGAGCCACATCCGCAGCCCCCCTTATTTATGTTTTAAGACCGTGTTAATAGGTGACTACAAATTTAGAAATGCTACATCTTAAGAAATGCTATATCTTAGCAACTAGAACATCTATTATTATGACCTGCTTTGTCTCGTGTGTGTGTGTGTATTTAACGTATTAAAGTTCTTTCTTTTTGATAATTAGCTATAAAAATATTCATTTGTCTAACGGTTAATGTCTATGTGGTACATTATTTCACATCTTTTTTTCTTTCTTTCCTTCTTTTTTCTTTCTTTTTCTTTTTTTTTTTTTTTTTTTTTTGTTCTGAGGATTGAACCTGGGGTGCTTAACCACTGAAGTACATCCACAGCCTGTTTTATTTTTGAGTTTGAGACAGGGTTTCGCTAAGTTACTTAGTCTTGCCAAGTTACTGAGGCTGACCTCAAGCTTACAAATCCTCCTGGGCTGGGGATGTAGATCAATGGCAGAGTGCTTGCCTAACATGTGCGTAGGCCCAGGATTCAAGTCCCAGCACCACAAAAAACAAAGCAAAACCTACAATTCTCCTGCCTCACCCTCCCAAGCTGCTGGGATTACAGGCATGGGCCACCACACCTGGATCTATTTCACATCCTTTTAACTTTTGCCATTCCTTGTTTTTTCTGTCTTTTAACTTTATTTATTTATCATAGTACTGGAGATTTAACCCAGGTGCACTCTACCACGGAGCTCTATCCCCAGCCCTTTTTGTTTTTATTTTGAGACAGGGTCTTGCTGAGTTGTCCAGGCTGGGTTCAAACTTGCAATCCTCCTGCCTCAATCTCCCAAGTAGTTGAGATTACAGGAGTGCGCCACTGCACCTGGCTTTTTTTTTTTTTTTTTTTTTGACAGTAATTGCCTCTAGTACATTTAAGCTATGGTCCACCTGTCTGCTGGCTTTTGTTTTTGCTGTTGAGGAATCAGGTATACTCCAATTCTGTGAATCTGTCAGGTTTCGTGTTGCTCATGTAACATCCTAAATTTCCTTGGCTTGGAACAACCGTTTGTCTCAGGCCCACTTTTCATGTCTTGTGCCGGTGGCTGCGGCTCCTACCTGGGACAGTCTCCGGGCAGAAGGGAAAAAGGAGCTGTGACGATTCTTAAAGCTTTTGGCAGCAGACATCACTTACCCTCACATGTCATTAGCCAAGCCTGATGTCAGCAGAGTGGGATCAGGTTTTGCAGATCTATGTCCCATAGGCATTGACACCAAATAATTGAGAACAATAATACGACCTACCACACTACGGTCCTTTGAAGAGTTCTGTATCATTTTTTACAGAACTCGGGAAATTATGAACCATTTTTAGTTTTTTCAAACAAAAGGGATATTCACATGGTGGGTTGTTTACCCGGATGCTAGAAGGCTGAAAAATACAGAGAGGGTGCTGAAGTTACCCATTTAGTAATTACAGGAAGCAGCTGCCACCCCTAGGCTTGGGAGGATGAAAGGGAAGAACTAAGGCTAACAGGACCTAAGATCTTGGAGGAGGACCCCAGCTGGGGCTGGACCATAAGCGAGTCCCTACCAGCGTGGAAAACCTTGTCAGGCTGGTGCTGGGAGGACTGAAAGAAGCTGGAGACTCTTGAAGTGAAGCCAACAGGATGTAGAGACAGGAAGGAATCCCTTTCTCCTGCCAGTTGATCTCCCTTTCATGCCTCCAGTGAGCAGAACCTAACAGGAAGTCAGCTGGCAAGGGGTTCTGGGAAAGGTGGTCTGCAGACCCTAGCCCCTGCAGCACTGAGCAGATTGCAGGAGCCTGGGCTGAGAGATAAGAAGTAAATAACCAGCTTTACAATCCATTGTTTTCCTCTGTCTGCTTTGGTAAGATTGTTCTTTTTGTCTTTGATTTTCTACATTTTCACCATGATGGTGTATTTCTTTTCTTTTATTTGGAGAAATTTGAGTTCTCAAATCTATAAGATCAATATCTTCCAACCATTCTGGAAAATTCTCAACCATTTTCTTTTAGACTATTGCCTTTGTTCTCATCTCTTTCCTCTTCTTCTGGAACTGCAATTTTTTTTTTAATGTTTATTTTTTAGTTTTCGGCGGACACAACATCTTTTGTTGGTATGTGGTGCTGAGGATCGAACCCGGGCCGCACACATGCCAGGCGAGCGCGCTACCGCTTGAGCCACATCCCCAGCCCTGGAACTGCAATTTAAACATACATAAACTTGGGGCTGGGATTGTGGCTCAGCGGTAGAGCACTTGCTTACCAAGTAGCGGGACCCGGGTTTGATCCTCAGCATCACATAAAAATAAAGGCATTGTGTTATGTCCATCTACACCTAAAAATAAATATTTAAAGGAAAAAACAAACATATGTAAACTCTTCTGATTGTGGCTTCTAGATCTGTAAACTTTTCTTTTGCAGACCCCATCCTTTTGTCTTTCCATACTTCTTTCTGGATCATTTCTTCTGACCCACCTTCCACTTCCCCAATTCATTCTTTAGCCATGTTGTTAAATCTGCCAGCTGGGGTGGCACACACCTGTGATCCCATCAACTCAGGATGCCAAGGCATGAAGATTGCAAGTTGGAGGCCAGCCTGGGAAATGAAGCAAGTCTCTGTATCAAAATAAAAAATAAAAAGGGCTCAGGATGTAGCTCAGTGGTAGAGCACCCCTGGGTTCTACCCCCAGTACCTCAACAACAACAAAATCTATTAAATGAATCCACTGGGTTTATGATTCTAGCTTGTTTGATTGATTGTTGTACTGAGGAGTGAACCCAGAAGTGCTCTACCTCTGAGCTACATCCCCAGCACACCCCACCTTTTCTTTCTTTCTTTTTTTTTTTTTTTAATTCTGACACAGGGTCCATGAAATTCTTCAGGCTGGCCTGAATTTGTTATCCTCCTGCCTCTACTTTCTGAATAGCTGGGATTCTAGGAGTGCATGACCATGCACGGCTTTAGTTAGAATTTTTATAGACTTCCTATTTATTCCCTTTTCACACATGCTATATAATTTTATGGAGTCTCCAGTTCCCTGTTGAAACTTTCAATTTTGACATTGAATCCAGGGATGCTTAACCACTGAGCCACATCCCCATCTTATTATTTTATTTTGAGACAGGGTCTAACTGAGTTGCTTAGGGCCTCACTAAGTTGGTGAAGCTGGCTTTGAACTCATGATCCTCCTGCCTCAGCCTCCTGAGCCACTGGATTACAGGCATGCTGGCACTAGCCCTGGTTTCTTGAACACTGTAAGTATGATTTTTCTTATACCCGGAGTTCCTCTGGCTCTATTATGGCTGACTGTTATTTCTGGTGGTTTTAACTGAAGGAATCTGACTACCTCATGTGTCTGCTTATTTTTGTGTGTTAAATATTGTGTTTGTGATATTATTTGTAGAAATAATTTGAAACAGGGTGATTTTGTTGTTCACTGAAGAGAAATTTTTTTTATTTCACTTTCCAGGCGCCTGGAGGGATTAACAAACTGAGATCATCTTGGTTCATACTTAGGGCATGATGTTTTCTGGAGCACCTGGATGACTCAAAGCCTTGACTACAGCTCAGGTAAGGACTAGTTTATTTTCAGTTCACTTTTATTCCTGGGGCACAGTCTTTTGGGAGCTGAGTCTAATGTGGGAGTTGGCTTCTCAGTCCCCAACTCTCTGCAGACCTGGACTCTTAATTTTTGTCTCTAGTCATATAAAGCCACCAAAAGTGATCTTGGCCTGTTCATCACTTCTTTATAGTTGCAAAAGCTTCCAGGGTCATCTCTTTGGAATTCTGTCTTCCCATGGACCTTAGCATAATAATTCCTCTCTAGGTTGGCACTTTGACTTCATTTGTCTTTTTTTTTTTAATTATTTTTTTAGTTGTAGATGGACACAATGCCTTTATTTTATTTTTTTATGTGGCGCTAAGGATCGAACCCAGTACCCGCCACATGCGAGGTGAGCACTCTGCCACTGAGCTACAACTCCAGCCCCTTCATTTGCCTTTTTCTTTTTTTGTGCTGGGGATTGAACCCAGGGGCTCTTTATCCCTGAGGTACATCCACCATCCCCTTTTTTACATTTCATTTTGAGACAGAGTTTGCTAAATTGCCCAGACTGGCCTCAAACTTGCAATCCTTCTGCCTCAGCCTCCCAAGTTGCTGGATTTACAATTGTCTGCTATCACACCCGGCTTGAATAAAATATTTTAATTAGAACTTTTGCCAATATTGATTTTTTTTTGTCAATAAAGCATTTTTGAAATAAGTTGCATAAAGGCAAATTAATTTCTTCATAAAATTTAAATACAGCATTGTCAAATCATTTATTTTTGTATATTTTTGTGTTTAAACTTTATTTTGCCAAACTTATTCCCCTAGATATCACTTTTCTTTTCTTTTTTTTTAAAGAGAGAGTGAGAGAGAGAGAGGGAGAATTTTTAATATTTATTTTTTAGTTTTCTGCGGACACAACATCTTTGTTTGTATGTGGTGCTGAGGATCGAACCCGGGCCGCACGCGTGCCAGGTGAGCGCGCTACTGCTTGAGCCACATCCCCAGCCCTAGATATCACTTTTCAACTTTAATTTTATTCAATCTAATATTTATTTATTTAATTTATTTAGGTGTGCTGGGGGTGGAACCCAGGGCCTTTGCATGTTGAGCAAGCCCTCCACCACTGAGCCACACCCCCAGCCCTCAATCTTTTAAACAAAATGGATTTTTTTGTTGCTGTTGAGTACCGGGGATTAAACTCAGGGGCACTGGTCCACAGAGCCATTATTTTGTATTTTATTAGAGACAGGGTCTCACTGAGCTGCTAAACACCTCATAGTTGCTGAGGCTGGCTTTGAACTCACAATCCTTCTGTCTCAGTCCCCCAAACTGCTGGGATTACAGTCATATGCAGCTTTTTTCTTTCTTTTTTTTTTTATTTATTCCTTTTAGTTATACCTGACAGTAGAATATATTTTGACATATCATATATACATGAAGTATAACTTCTCATTCTTGTGGTTGTACACGATGTGCAGTTACACCGGTCATGTATTCATATAGGAACATAGGAAAGTTATGTCCGATTCATTCTACTATCTTTCCCATTCCCATCCTCCCTCCTTGCCCCTCCCAATGGATTTCTTTATTAATCAGTTTTCATTTCCTTTTTTTAAAATTTTTTTTTAGCTTTAGGTGGACACAATATCTTTATTTTATTTGTATGTGGTGCTGAGAATCGAACCCAGTGCCTCATGCATGCTAGGCGAGCGCACTAACACTCATTTCCTTTTTAAAAAATATTTTTGTAGGTGGACATAATACCTTTATTTCATTTATTTTTATGTGGTGTTGAGGATCAAACCCAGTGCCTCATGTGTGCTAGGCAAGAGCTCTGCCACTGAGCTATGGCCCCAGCCCAGTTTTCATTTCCTTTGCAGCCATGATTTTTACCAAGCCCAATCTCCTAGATCACGTTTTGCAGACCCAAATTTTGTCAAGAGGATTTGGCTTTTCTGGCACTTTTAAGGCAATTGGACATTTTTACCTAGTGCAGATTCTGCTATGGTTGTTTTTACTTTGTGATGTTGGGGTGAGCATTTTTATGCATTTCTTGGGGAATTCAGGAGAAATTTTTGAGCCAGTTTGTGAATAAGACAGAAATGAAGAGAGAGGAAGAAAAGAGTAGCTGAGGAAAACCAGGTATTGGGGTGGGGGCGGAAAGGTAACTGGGAGAAAGGAGAGGGGAGAGAGATGGAGGGGGCAGGCATGAGAGGGTGAATACAGCAGGTCAGTGTATCTTGGGAGTTAAAACGGGGTAAAACAAAAGGTCAGGGCTGGAAGGTTTGCCAGATATGAAACAGGTAAAGGAGAATGAGGAGCCAGCAACACCCTAGGAAGTAGCAGGCAGAAAAGGAGGAAATAGGTGTGAACTCCAACGGGTGTCCATCGGCTCACCCTATCCATCCTGCATCCTCAGCTCCCTCCTGGTGGGCGATTCCAGCTGGGACCTCAGATCGGTCTCCACCACATGCTGCTGCACCATCCTGGTTGTTATAGAGGTGTTGCCATCCTTGTTCCCAAAGCCAACCCAATGATAAGCACATGGTTTTGAGAAAAAGGAAAAAGAAGGTTTATTGCTTTGCTAGCAAAGGAGAAACACAGGGGTCACCTGTGTCCCAGAAGCTGTGGTTCTGCCCATTAGCAGGAATAGGGGGATTTTAAAGAGGTGACTTAAAGGCTACATTCCACCTGTTCTCTGTGGGAGTTGTAATTCACTTGTGAATTTGGGACAGTCATTTCTGAGATCTTCTGGAGTCATCCCCAAAGTCTGGATGACTTCCTTCCTTTGGTGGGTGTGTACTCAGGGACAGATAACTCTGCCTAGGATGAGGAAGAAAGGTAATCCTGTTTCCCCTGAGATTAGGGAGGGGAGAGATTAGGTAGGAGCAGGGGGAGAGGAAGAGAAAGAAACTTGTACATTTTAAAACTAAGTTGCATTGGCAGAGCAGCACTCTACAGAGGCAGAGGACGGAGGAAATGTGGGGTCGTGAAGCTTGGCTGTGCTAGGAGAAGAAGCCCCAAAAAAGGACAGGAACCAATCTTGCTCCTGTCCAGGTTCCCCGGGTCTCCTGCTTGTCCTTGAGTCCAGCCTGAGGGTCACCCTGCAGAGAATGAACCAGGGGTTGGAATCAGGGTGGAGACCTATATGATTCACCTGGATCTTTTGTCCTGGATGGCTGCACCTGTCTGGGTCAGGCTTTATAGAGAGCCAAGCTGACCTGACAGCTACCCTGGAGAGGCGTTGCTGCCCTGCCCTGCCCTGCTCTGCCCTCCATCCCACTCCGAGGTTTATGAACCCCCACTGCCCACCTTTTCAGTTCTGTGTCAAGTGCTCTCAATTTCATGGCCACATCATTTCTCCATTGGGGTGGCCAGATTTAACAAATGCAAATACCAGACAAATACAAATTGCGTTTTCAAATAAACAATCCCCCTCCCTGGCTCATACCAGAGATTGAACCCAGGGGTGCTCTACCACTGAGATATACCCCCAGCCCTTTATTTTTTGAGGCAGGCTCTCAGCTAAATTGCTCAGCCTGGCCTTGAATTTGAGATCCTCCAGCTTCTCAACTCATTAGCATTACAGGTATTGGGAACCTCATTCAGCCTCCAATTATTTTTTTCCTTTCTTTTCTTTTTTTTTTCCCTGGGGGGGGCGGGTACCAGGGATTGAACCCAGGGTGCTTAACCACTGAGCCACATTCCCCAGCCCTTTTTTATGTTTTATTTAGAGACAGGGTCTCACTGAGTTGCTTAGCACCTCACTTTTGCTGAGACTGGCTTTGAACATGTTATCATCTTGCCTCAGCCTCCCAAGACACTGGAGTTACAGGCATGTGCCACTGCGTCCGGCTGATTTTTCTTATTTTGAGTCAGGGTCTCACTCAGTTGCCCAGGGTGGCTTCCAACTCGTGATCCTCCTGCTTCAGCTTCCTGAGTTGCTGGGATTACAGGTGTGTGGCACCATGTTCAGCCTCTGATTGTTTTTTTAAATATTTTTAAATTATAGATGGACACAATACCTTTATTTTATTTGTTTATTTTTATGGGGTACTGGGGATCAAACCCAGTGCCTCACGCATGCTAGGCAAGTGCTTTACCACTGAGCCACAATTCCGACACATGATTATTTTTTAATACTGCTTAAATACTGTGTAATAGTGTTTAAGTAATTTTTTTTTTTAATGTTTATTTTTTAGTTATCGGCGGACACAACATCTTTGTTTGTATGTGGTGCTGAGGATCGAACCCGGGCCGCACGCATGCCAGGCCAGCGCGCTACCGCTTGAGCCACATCCCCAGCCCCTTAAGTAATTTTTAATGCTGAAAAAATTTGTTGTTTACCTGAAATTCCAATTTAACTGGACGTTGCCTGTTTTGTCTGGCAATCTTACTCCTCCCTGCTCTCCCCTCCTTTTCATTCCCACCCATCCTCAGACTCACCTGTGAAACTGCAGCCCCCTCCCTGGGGTCTGGCTGCTCCTGCTCTGGCCCTTCCCAGGCCATTTTCCTCACTAGTCACCAGCGTTATCATCAACCTAATGCACATCTCTGATTTGGCCTTCAGCAGGTGCAAACTGAAGACTAGAATACATATTTATTTGATGGAGGTGTTTTTACTAAGGAAATATAATTATAAAGACTGAATTTTGGGCTTTTCTATAAAACATCATGAAGCCAAGTATGGTGGTACATGCGTGTAATCCCAGTGACTCAGGAAGCTGAGGTGGGAGGGTGGCAAATTCAAGGCCAGCCTCAGCAATTTAATGAGGACTTAAGCAACTTAGTGAGATCCTGTCTTAAAGTGAAAAATAAAATGGTCTGGGGATATAGTTCAGTGGTAAAGCAACCTGGGTAAACCCCCCTCCCCCCAAAAAACGGACTAGAGATGTGGTTCAGTGATAAAAGCATCCCTGGGATCAATTCCTAGCACCAATCAAAACAAAACAAAACAAAAACAAAAACAAACAAACAAAAAAGATCTGAAGCTATGGCTGCTCCAAGCCTAATCTACCCATCATTTCTCTGTCTACTGGGCCTCATGCATCTACCAAAACCTGTCCTTGCTGAGTAAGAGCTTCTGACACCTGACTGGCTGGGGTCAGAGTCCCCACCTTGATTGACATTCAAGGCTTTTCCTGCTTAGGTCACACCTCCTCTCTGCCACTTCTCTTCCCATTCCTTTCCTTTTGTCACCTTTTCTCCAAGCCCAGGGGCCACTGAATGGCTTCTTAGCAAGTCTCATGGGTCTGGCCTCTCTGTCTCTGCAATAGCCAGCCTCTCTGCTCCCTCTGCCCATGTGTTAGCCAGCTTTCTGTTGCTGTGACAAAAATACCTGAGATAATCAACTTAAAAGGAGGAAAGGTTTATTTGGGCTCATGGTTTCAGTCCATGATTGTTTGGTCCTATTGCTAGAGGCAGTACATCATGGTGGAATTATGTGGTAGAGGAGGAATCTTCACCTCATGACATCTGGGAAGCAAAGAGAGACAGAGAGATGAGGGATCAGGGTTCCAATATCCCCTTCTAGACCATGTCCTCAATCACCTAACTTCTTCCTACTAGGTTCAGTCTTCTAAATGCTTCACCACCTCCCAATAGCTCCACAGGCTGAGGACCAAGCATTCAATACAGAGCCCTTTGGAGGACATCCCATACCCAAACTATAGCAGCCCAGCAGGTGAGTCTCCTTCCTGTGGTCACAGCTGACTCATTCATCCAGGAGCAGGGCACATGTACATCCTCCAGGACACCCTTTCTGGTATCTCCCTAACGGAAATATGCTACCTGCTTCCCTACTCTGGCAAACCACAAAACCATTTCTGTTCCTTACCAGCTTTTCTCAGAACGCAAGCACACACACGCCATGGCTGAGCGTCTGCTGGGTAGATGCTGGGGAAACAGGAAAATGACCTTTGGGAGACCTCAGGTGAGTGTAAAAAGTCTGTCATGGGGATGAGGGGCCCTGACCTGGGCTGCTGAGGACAGGTTCCCCAGCAGGGTTTTAGATGAGATCAGATGCATTTAGGGTGGAATGGCTGTAGACTCCCAGCAGGGGTTTAGAACACACTGTTACAAAATATGGCTCCTTGGCATTTGAGAAAAGGACACAGGCAGGAAGGCTTCTCTGACTTTCTCCCATCTTTTTCCCCGAAGAAGCCACCAAAGAATTTTCCGACTTTCCTTGTAAGTAGGTCATAATGAGATAGGAATTTAGGATCAAGAGAGAGAAATACTGACTCTTAAAGGAAATGCCCACGAGCCACTGAGATGAAGAAAACACAGTTGTAAATCTTGAGCACCCTTTTTGGCCTGTGCCCTTGTAAAAGGAGGGAAATACTCAAGCGCAGGAAAACATCGGGAAATTGTGCAGCTCCACCCTGGATCCACCTCCAGTCCAGCCCCTGAAATAGCATTTCTATAAATATTAGACCCCAAGCCCAAGTCAGCCAGCGTTCTCCCTTGAATGTGTATCTACCTTCCTAAATGAACCTCACCTCTGTCTATGCCTTTCTCTGGCTCATGCTGAAATTCTTTTCTGTCACATATGCCAAGAACCCAGCTGGTCCTGAATTAAACTCCCCCTCTCCTCTGGGAACCCCATGGACCCTTCTCCAGAGATGTCTCTTCTCCTGTGATCATAAGACCCCCATTGCAGAGGGGCCTCCCTACACCTGGAAAATAGAAATGCCTATATCTCTGAAGAGACAGGAACCCAAAGAAGAACCTGAACAAATCCTGGACCCCAGCTTATTGCCATTAGATCACACCCTATTATCTTCCAATCACATTTCTCCACAACTGACTCCTTCCTTCAAATCACATTTCTCCACAACTGACCAGTCCTTCCTCCTTAGCATTCTTCTTCAGAAATATACTGGCTACTTGCAGAACTTTTCTCCTTCACTAGAAACTTAGCATAAGAAGGCATAGGGTCTTCATTTCAAATTCTCTCTTTGCCTTCTGTTTAGGGGGCCTCAGCATGAACCTTGAGGTGGGTACAGAAAAGACACCACCTTTTCTCCCCTACATTTTCCAGTGGGGAAGACTTTCTGTTGCCTCTAACTTAGAAGAGGAGTTTTCAGACTGAAAAATCAACCAAAGGCACTTAGTGTGTTGGGAGGTGACCCACCAGGAGCCCAAGGGAACCTTCCTTTCTGACAAAACAGGGAAGGGGCTGAAAGGGTGCAGAGCCAACTCAAACTTTTATAAAGGCCAAGATTGAACCCAGGGACACTCTACCACTGACTCACTCACTTCCCCAGCTCTTTTTTATTTATTTATTTTTTTATTTTGAGACAGGGTGTCACTAAGTTGTTGAGGCCAGCCTTGAATTTGTAATCCTCCTGCCTCAGCCTCATAGTCTCTGGGATTTCGGGCATGTGTCTCTGCTCCCAGCTGAAGCCTATATTTTTACAAGACTGTAAGACCCAGGAAGGCAGGGATTTGGGTCTGTTTTGTTTCCAGAATACACCTGGTAATAACTGACTAAGTGATATTATGATGTATATCAATGAATTAGAGAATGAAGTGTTACAGGAAGGTGGGTCAATCAGGCAACAGGGAGAGGGAGTGGACAGAGTAGGGAAGGAATTCTGAGGGCGTGGCAAGGGCAAGAAGGGTCCACCTGCAATGAAGTGGCTGGGCGCAAAGCCCAAAGGGGACCAGTGTAAGTAGACATTACAAACATACTCCACTACCTTTACTTTTAGGGTTAGGACTTCATCTTTGCAGTAACTATGTGATGCCTGGCATGGAATTATCTGTTGAACATTCAATGAATGAATATTCTAGGCCTAATCAAAGACAGAAGCACTGGCCCTTGACTCCAGTGATCTAGTGGCTTCTCTGGAATTTCCTCCCGTGATAACTGTCATCATTCTTTTTCTTAAAGCCTCTCTTCCCAGTTTACTTAGAGCTTTTGCAGACATTGCCTCATCTGATCCTTATCACAACCCTGAGAAGTGGGACTCATTAGCTTCATTTTACAGATGTGGAAGCAGAGGCCAATAGAGGTTATGTGACTTCACCAGAATAAAACACGGGTGAGAAAGAACTCAGACCTAGTGTTGCCAGAAGCTTAGTCCTTGTCCCTGATGCCAATCCAATAATGAGGACACGGTTTTGAGAAAAAGGAAAAAGAACATTTATTGCTTTGCCTCTGTCCCAGAGGCTGTGATTCTGCCCATTAGTAGGAACAGGGGGCTTTTAAAGAGGTGATTCAAAGGCTTCATTCTACCTGGTCTCTGATGGAGTTGTGATAATTCACTTGTGAATTTGTGAATTTGGGAGACAGTCATTTCTGAGATCTTCTGGTGACATCCCCAAAGTCTGGATGACTTCCTTCCTTTGGTGGGTGTGTACTCGGGGACAGATAACTCTGCCTAGGATACAGAAGAAAGTTAATCCTGTTTCTCCTGAGATTAGGGAGGAGAGAGATTAGGTAGGAGCAGGGGGAGAGGAAAAGAAAGAAACTTGTCCATTTTAAAAATAAGTTGCAGGGCTGTATGATGCCTGGCATAGAATTATCTGTTAAATATTCAGTGAATGAATATTCTAGGTCTAATCAAAGATAGATGCACTGGCCCTTGACTCCAGCGATCTAGTGGAGTCTACTCAGCGGTAGAGTGCTTGCCTAGCATTGTGAGGCCCTGAGTTCGATCCTCAGCACCAAGTAAAAATAAATAAAATAAAGGTATTGTGTCCAACTACAATTTAAAAAAAAATAAAATAAGTTGCAGTGGCAGAGCAGCAAGGGCTATAGTCAAAGCATAAAGTGGGTCACTGTTATATAAGCCTCAAAGGTCCCCACATCCAGGATCCTTTCTGCTTTATCATTTTTTAGGAAAGATATGATTAGAAAATGTGAAAGAGAGCACAAGACGACATGTAGGTTCACTGCTAAGTAGGGTATCAGTAGTTATAATGATAATAATTATTAACACACTCCCTGTGTGTTAGGTTCCTGTGTGTTAAGTTCTGTTCCAAGCATTCCAAGCACTTGATACGTCACCCCATTTATGCCTCTACTACTTTTTTTTTGAGGGGGGATTGGGGATTGAACCCTGTGATTAATCACTGAGCCATATCCACAGTCCTTTTTATTTTTTATTTTGAGATAGGATCTCACTAAATTGCTTAGGACCTCACCAAATTGCTGAATTTGGCCTTGAACTTGGGATTCTCCTGCATCAGCCCCCAGAGCCACAGGGATTATAGGCATGTGCACCAGGCTCGGCCCAGCTTTATTTTATTTTTTTTTTGAGACAGGGTCTTATTACTTTGCCCAGGCTGGTTTTGAACTTGTGCTTCTCCTGCCTCAGCCTCCTGAGTCACTAGGATAACAGGCGTATGCCTAAAATTTAAAGGGCTAAAATGGAGAAGGAATGCAGGTCTGTTCCGTAACACCCTCTCCAGTTCCATGTACATTCTCAGAGATATAAACTAGATGCATTAAAAACGCTTGGGAGCCCTGTTCAGTGGTGCAAGCCTGTGATCCCAGCTGCTCTAGAGGCTGAGGCAAGAGGCAAGTTCAAAGCCAGCCTCCTCAGTGGCGAGGGTTTAAGCAACTCAGTGAGCCCCTGTTTCTAAATAAAATACAAAATAGGGCTGGGGATGTGGCTCAGTGGTTGAGTGCCCCTGAGTTCAGTCCCTGGTGCCCACCCCCTTCGAAAAAAAGGAAAACAAACAAACAAAAAAAAGGACTTTTGAGTCAGACCCATCAAGTCTTTTAAGCTTTCATGCCTCTATGTCTTCCTTGGGGAAGAATATTCCAAACAATGTTGTTAGGAGAATTGGTGCTTTGTAAGTAGTAGCTGGATGAAGGTGAGCACTCCCCACTCCTGAGAAGCCTCAAAGTTTCTGGATGGACTGGGGCTCAAAGCCTGGCTTCTGATCCTGCCCTGGTGGCTAGAAGTTTGAGGTCCCATTTCCATCTGTAAGAGGGAGAGGCATGTTCCAGGGGCCCTGATGGCCCCACCTGATACTGGACAAGCACCTGTATGGCTGAAGACTCTGTCCAAGAGGCACAGGTTGGAGTCCTGAAAAGTGAGCCTAGGAGAGCTCCTGGTGCTTCTGATGTAGGGATTTAGGATAAAGAGACAAAAATACTGAATCTTAAAGGAAATGCCCATAACCCATTGAGATGCAGAAAACACAGTTGTAAACCTTGGCCCATGCCCTTGTAAAATGAAGGAAATACGCAAGTGTAGGGAAAACTGGCATGAAACTGTGCAGCTCCACCCTGGATTCACCTCCAGTCCAGCCCCTGATGCAGCTCTTCTGTAAATACTGGACCCCTGGCCCAAGTCAGGGCTTCTCACCCTTGAGATAGCCCACATTTTCCCTTGAATGTGTATCTACCTTCCTAAATAAACCTCTGTCTGAGGTTTTGGCTGGCTGATGCTGAAATTCTGTTCTGTCACATATGCCAAGAACCCCCCTGGTCCTGAATTAAGAGTTCATCCTCTCCTCTGGGAATTCCTTGGACTGGTCTCAGGAGACATCCCTTCTCCCTTGAAACATACAAGATGGAAAAAGAAGAGAAACTCTCTGAGTTTACCTTCTGATATAATTTGGAATTTTTTTTTTCCTTTCTGTGCTGGGGATCTAACCCAGGACCTTGAGCATGCTAGGCAAGTGCTCTACCACTGACCTACATACAGCCCAATATGGGTTTTGTTTTGTTTTTTGTACGAGGGGTGCAAAAACAACTGAGCCTCACCCCCAGCAACCTACCCCACTTGCCCCATTTTTATTTTGAGACAGAGTCTTGCTAAATTGCTTATGGCCTCAGTTGCCAAGGCTGGCTTTGAACTTGTGATCCTCTTGCCTCAGCCTCTTAAGACACTGGGATGATTACAGGCATGTGCATCTACACCTGGATTAATTCACACATCATAGAGGTATGTATGTATAGG